AAGGACGGACGGACGGACGGACGGACGGACGGACGGACGGACGGACAGACAGACAGACAGCGGAGTCTTAGTAATAAAAAAGATGAATTTGTATCAAAATCGTGTAACGTCATTTGTAGATTCTCCCGAGTCTCTTTATTCAATCTATAGTCTCAAAAACTCGACTTTTTGCTGTAAGAAGGGTCTTTTAAGGAGATCAGAGAACGAAGAGGGAAACATCATCATATCAGCCGTAGGACGTCCACTGCTGAACATAGGCCTTCCCCATTGACTAACATTACATACTAAATGGTTTTACAGTTTTACATGCTTATAAACGAATAATATATGTATAATATACTAATTAATAAACGAGTTAATGCTAATTAAGGTTAATAAAAGATTACCTTTATGCCACCATACAGATATTAACGAAATTTAAAAGCAAAATAAACTATCTTTTTTAGATTTCAAATTACCTACTATTAAATGTAAACAAACTGTCCTTTTATAAAATTATATAAGCGGATAAATCCATTTTATGGTGCCGCATTAATGTACCACAATGACGTTAAGCGATAACATATTATGATAAAAACTGCACAAACCTTTCCATGGTAAAAGCTTACGTTGTATATCAATTTTAATTGTCATAAGTATCGTCTAAAGACCCATTTACACGGTGCAAGTTTCTTGCCTGTTGTATACAATTAAATTGAAGCAATAAATGAGTTGCATGGTCTAAACAACAAATGGTCTAACAAATTATTGCGCGCAATTTATTGCATTCAATTATTGCTCTTGTATGTACAAGAAAATGGCATCGTGTAAATGGGCCTTAAAACTAGGATGAGCAACGCGCGGCCCGTGGGCCGCTTACGGCCCCTTAAACATGTTTATGCCACCCGCCAAGCATTTCTAAAATTGAATTTATTTTATCGAATTTCTCCCATAAATATATATTGTTATAAAATTAATTATAATAAAATGTTAGTACGTACTGAACCGAAATATTTTTTGTTCATTCTTCTGTTCTTTTCTTGTTTGTTTTTACCTTGCATTAAAACTTGTATATGAAATCTTTACTTTTTTTTAAAATTTTATATTTTTTATTCTAATATTTATTATAAATAAAGATTCGTAAATTATTATGTGCGGCCCGCCAAAAAATTTGAAATTTAAATTGGCCCATTGATTAAAAAGATTGCTCACCCCTGGTCTAAACCATTACGACTCCCAAAAACTTCCACGTCTACACTCCATTTCCATTTTTTATATTCCACCAAAGGTATTAGTTAACGTTCTTAAACGTCAAGTTAATCAAATTTTGACTAAAATCTAAGCAATGACGGCAGTTTACGGATGGCGCACAGCGTCAATTAAATACTACACGGAAAGCGATTGTGTGTTAATACAAGGCGGTACTGGCCACACTTCCGCTCAAGCCGGTGAAACAAACATAATGAGCTTTAGCTTTGTTCTAATACTACTAAGAAAACAATTATTATTATAGGGCGACGAAAAAATACTTCCATCAGCTTTATGTAAAAAGTTGTTATGATGTTTTTCTTTTCAAAATTAAATGTAACGTATATATTATAATATTCAAAATTCCAACAACCCAAGATGTCTTTAAAACAAAATTGTTAAGGAAAAATAATGTACATATAAATAATTTTACCTTAGATTTTGGGGATTAATTTTATTTATAACTCACTACATAATATACTGTTTTGGCATTTAGTACCTTACAATTACACAAAACCAAGTACTTACACAGAGCTAGTCAAGTAAAGGTTATGATATATACATAGTTATTTTGAAACTAAGGAAGAGGAACTAAGGTCATCAATATGATGATCTCAAAGCTTTTTTAAAACATGTATGTCTAAAAATAAATAACCTGTAACTCTACACAAATCTCGCTGAGCTATTACCTTTATACATTATAAATTAACAGCATAGCTAATTAAAAGTAGCTTATTTAACAAAATAATTTTACTAATCTATACCTTCATCATTATGTTACAAAAAAGTATGGATTAAAATTATCTGTACCGATAAATAGTAAAGAGATTATTTTATATAATATTCCTATGCAGAAGACAAAATATGATAATGAAATATTCGCAAGCATAATTTTATTGGCAGGAACAGAAGTTGTATGCGGATAATGTTTTTTTACATTAGGCTACACATACATGCAGATTGAACATGTTCATCCAAACAAGCATTGATGACAATATTAAGCTAAATTAAAATAGACTGCTATGAAGAATTATGAGACTTCTTAGCCATTTTAGAATCTTTATAAATAACAGAATATATATATTTTTCTTGTAAATGAAAGGATTTATATTAATTCTATAATAAACCTGATATACTATGTAAATTTACTTTTTTCCCGGTTCATGCCTCAGCAACATTCGCAAAAGCTGTTTTTGTTAAATGTTTAGGTTTTATATTATTTCAAACGCATTCGCAAACATAGGCTTAGGTAAATAATTTAATAAAAATATGTATTTAAAAAAAATCACTCAATGCCACATGTAGAGGATAAGTTTTAATGATAAATGAATATCAGCCAGTTTAAATGTAAAAGTACTCTGGTAAAAATTGCAGGTAAAATTATTGCTAGTTTAATATACCGTACCTGGAGTAACGATCTTTGCTCGGTGTTTTTTTCTTTGGTAAATCGTGTATTTTGGAAATTACATTTAGATACAAATTACTGAGTAATGAAATATTCATAATATTTTTCAATCTTACCGACGTAACAATAAGAAAATATGAACTGGTGTTTTTCACAAAAGAAAGAACTTTATAAAAAAAGGGAAAAAAATAACAAAATCATCTGGATCGACAAAACATAAAAAATAAAGAAAGCAATGATCTGGAATTGAAAAAAAGTAAAAAAATAAGAGTGTAAATGATCGTGATTACCAACCGAGCTATTATAATATTTTTTTCGGCGAAATTTACCGTCGTATTCGAATGATATTTTTCATTCCCTGAAAACTGAGATAAAACGACATTTTCTAAAAATGAAACCTAGCCATATCGATTTTTCGCCCCCGAATCTACGCACATACTAAATTTCATGAAAATCGCTTGAGCCGTTTTCTAGCTTCCGATTATATATATACAAGAGTTGCTTGTTTAAAGGTATAAGATTAAATCACCTTGATTTTACAAGCAACTTGAACGGTCAAATAAAATTATTCTCTCAAGAATTTAATGGATTGAATTAAGAATACAGAAATCCTTTATCATAGAATAGCGTACTCTTAAACTATTGAAGTACGTCAATTAAAATCAGTTAGATATTTTAACCCTAATGTATACATGTTTCCCTATACTTATTCACCATAAACCTTGTAAAACCTTACCAAATATTCAATACCAAAAATAATATTGAGGAAGTTTAAACATTCCTTTCAGATTATCAAACAACTTAATGCATTGGTCATTCTTTGATTTTGGTAAATATGAGAATGGGAGAGAAATTTTTTACTTTACATTTCCAAATTTCCTTAAAAAAAAGCAAATATTTAGATTTGTTGATGTTTCTTAATTAAATTAGCTACAATTGCACTCAGAATGACAATAAGTTTGAAAGAACAAAAGAAGTTAGAAAGAATAAAGAATTGTTATTTTCTTTTACTTATGTACTTATTACTTTGCAAATAATCTTACTGGTTTCCACTTTTGACGAATTTGTATATACGTCTTTTCTATGTCTTTTGTATATACTTTAAAATAAGTTGTGTATACATGTATGAATAATAAATATGAGTACGATTGAATTTATCACCTTCAGTATCATGCTGATCCTCTAACTACATTACCACAAATTAAAAACAATTAAAATAAAAGTAATGAAAACATTATTTAAACATGTAACAATAAAATGATTATAAGGAGGAAATAATGTATAATTTAAATGAAATAAAATGTAAGGAAAATGATTATAATTAATAAATGGTCAAAATTAGTTTCATTAGGTACATATAAGTATACTACAGCATTAACTATATTGTAGACTAGCTTTTTGTCCACAGCTCCACTTGCATGTACTACATTTTATAAACTTATATAGCTTAAGAGCCTATGGCATTCCTCGATAAATGAGCTATTTAATAGTGCACAAATTTTCCAAATGGATGAGTAGTCCCTGAGATTAGTGTGTTCAAACAAAAAGGCAGATAGCTGTTTGTTCGTCTGTCACTAAGCTGTACTCATGAACCGTGATGGTTAGACAGTTGAAATTTTCATAGACGATGTATTTCTGTGGCTGCTATAACAAAAAATACTAAAAAACTGATAAATATATATTTAAGTAGGTCTCCCAAAACAGACATGAATTTATTGCAGCTTTTTATAGAAAAGGTACTGAACCCTTTGTATGTGAGTATGTCTCATACTTGGCCGGTTTTATCATAAATCTATATGCATATATAATCATCATCATTTTACAAACCATAGTTTCATCTAATTCAACTGTAGCTATTACATTTTTTCTTTAAGTTGATATAACTTTGTTATTTGTGAACAGATTTAAATAAAACTAACACTATGTTAAGTTTTAGTTTGTAATTGAAGCTTACTACAATGCATTAGTGAAAGTTGCATCCAAATCTGTTAACCCATTTCTGAGATTAGTGCGCACAAATGCACTGACCAACAGACAAAAATTTTAACAATCATTGTTTTGGGTTCTATTGAATTGATAATGGCCCAATATCTTCCATGTACAGACAAGAATGACTTACATTTTTATTATATGTATAGATAAAAGTATGATTGCACTCCAACTAATCATAATATATCATTTATGTGGTGTAATATTTTTTTAAATTATGATAATGACAAACTTTATAGGTGTTAGATGTATTAATAAATATTCATTATGAAATACAACACAGCAAATGAACCAACTTTTTTCCAATTAAAGTAGCATATTTCATGGAAGTATAAAAATAAACAAACTGAGACATGATGTGAATAAAAAGTTGACTCACCACTGTGTTCTGTGAATATATTGGAGCCTAGCATGCGGGGGTCCCTGGGCGCTCGCGGCCTGCTTCGGGCCGAGCGCATGGACGCGCCGATGGCCGTGCCGCGCTCCTTCGCCTGCTGAGCCCCCATTGTACTTTTGCCACCGCCACCCTAGCGACCCCGGCACTAGCTTCACGCGACTCTACTATATCCCGATGACCACACTAATTAAATAAGTCCAATAATACATCGATGTACACAAACTTCATATTTAATATCCGAATTCACTATTTTTAGATAATTATGTCCATTTTATTTATTTATAAGAATCGAGATTAAAATATAATGATGAGGATATTTCGGATTGTAAATGTTTCCGGAAAAACATTACCGAAATTAATCGGTCAAATAAAAAACACAACCTCCGCCATTATAGGCAACTGAAACTGACAGTTTGGTTTGACGTCGATTTTTTAGTTTGCTCTCATCGCCAGTGATGGCGGTCTAGAACAGAACAGTAATGGCATTGATAGAATGAATGAATGATGAATGATAATCGTAAACTTATGTGTACCTGTGTCGCCATCTAGAGTTAGTAGTTTTGTTCGGATATTCGCCGATTAAGATGCATATTTCATGTAATGGCAACGTAACATTACATGCATGCTAGCTCTCCATGTTCCAATCGCTATGTTTTAAAGAAACCGGTGTAGCAATTTTCAGTCTAATCTACTGGTTGGAAATCATTAAGATGATAATGATGGTCGTAATGAATTTAATTGCATTTGTAACAGAAGACATAATTGAAGATTGATATGACTGCGTGTGGCTTTTTCATAATAGAAACGCATTAAAAAAGCAAGGTCACACTCAGTTTAAGCTATCGTTTTCGTTTAATTTTAAACACAAAAATATTAAACGTTATACACGAAAGTATATAGTAAGTGTCACATATCGATAGTCTGCTATCGATAAACAATCGATTATCTATCGATAGTTAAGATAAAAGCAATATTATCGGTAGCCTATCGATATATTGTCACGTGTCAATACTGTCGTTACTACCGATAGTATCGATGGCTCTCAAAGTGCCAATACTATCGATAAGAACAATACTATCGATAGTATCGCATGCGTTACTATCGATACTATGCTGTTATCAATAGTATTGGCACTTGGAAACCATCGATACTATCGGTAGTATTGACTTAGACGAAATTATTGGTAGTACAATCGATATCCTAAATAGATTTCGAGGTCAACAATCGCAAGTCAAACTATTGATGGTTATGCAACACGAGGCCCGTAAACGTAGTGGTTATATTCTCTTTGGAGCCGTGATAGCTCAGTGTCCGCCTCCGCTCGCTCGCCTTTGATTCAATATACTAGAGCAACCTGACTTCTATCCCCGGGACCAGCACCAATGAAATTGTTAATTTTAAGTGCTGACTTATCACGTGCTCTGCCGTGAAGAAAAACATCGTGCGGAAAGCTGCATATTTTCGAAATACTCGTCATAAAGAAAGAAAAATATATATTTCTAAGATATGTGAAGTCTGCCAATCCGCAGTGGGGCCACGTAGTGGACTGTGGCCTGATGCCCTCTGTACAAAGGCCTTTGGTAAGCTGTGAGACATGTATAAGCTGTTACTTTACTTTATGAAAATATCAAAAATGTATACAGGGCGATTATGATTATATTAGTATTAGAGATAGTAGCTTATTTCAAAAACTGTTAATATAATACATGGTCCATTTACGACAAATTGGGAAGGTAAAAAAGCTTGATAAATGGGTGCCCCGCGAACTTAACGATTGTCAGCACAACGTACCTGCCTTGTGCTGCTCAACTGGCACAGAAATTAAGGAATTTTGAACCGAATCATTAGGTGCGACTTAAAATGGGTTCTCTTCGACAATCAAAAGAGCTCAGCAAGTTGTTGACTAACGACACTGTTGTGGAGTGGACGATTTTGTGTTTTTAATGAAGATAGTACTTTGCGATTTTAATTCTTCCAGTTTTTTTATTTAAATCTATAATTGTACTATAAGAATGCTTTGATAACGGCAGTAGGAAATCAAGTAAGATTTGTGTTAAATATGGAATTATATCGACTTCTCTTTGTATCTAAAATCTAGAGTATCATTGAACAATACTCAAAACATTTTCTTCTTTCTTAATCTAACGATATTCGACGTCCGTCGAATTGCGGGAGGGGTGCGGGGGAAGGGGGAGGAGGGGTATTGCCCCCTTAAAAGGAAAAGTTGCGGAGCCCCCCGATTTTCGCGTTTTTAATATTTCATTTTTGGCAAATTTTGGTAAATTTGTCATCAGCGCCCGGTATGTTTCGACCTAAAAAAATTTACTCGGTAAAGAAACTCACTAATGAAATAATCAACAAGTAGAATTCTCTGGTCGCTTATAGTTTTCGAGAAAATAAATAATTAAAGCCTGTTATTTTCACTAGAGAAAACATTATCAGCCATATAAAAAAAGTTTTTTAAAATACTAAAACCACTGTTGCACTAACGTACGTGTATTGCGTTTTTGAAGTCATATTAGTAAAATGGCAGACTTTCTTAGTGAAAATAACAATTTTTACATTTTTTTTCCTCAAAAACCTACGCGTTTCCGCATGTTGAAACTTTGCGTGTGTGCTTATAATAATGTAACTAGTTTCTGTAAAAAATGTCATTCTGCAACTCGACGGACGTTAATGGAAAACTAAACCAATAAAAATATGTTTAAAATCTTTTGGTTTTATTTGTTTCACCTAATTGAAAAATTATACGTTAATTTAAAAATTTATTAGGAAAATAGCGATTTTAACTAATGTGATAAATTCTTGTTGACCAAGTTCTAGTGATAGTGAGTACTTACTACAGTCTATAATTTCATATCTTATCCTTTAAACGAGCAATTCTTGTATATATATATAATTGGAATCTCGGAAACGGCTCCAGCGATTTTCATGAAATTTAGTATGTGCGTAGATTCGGGGGCGAAAAATCGATCTAGGGTATAGGCTATAGGTTTCATTTTTAGAAAATGTCCTTTTATCCCTGTTTTCAGGGAAAGAAAAATATAATTCGAATATGACGGTAAATTTCGCCGCAAGCGATAATGTCATAATAGCTCGGTCGGTAATCGGGCGGCCCCCAAACAGACGGCCGTGGATCGCGTCACGACCATTCACACACTTATTTTTCGATTCCAGATCATTGTTTTCTTTATCTTTTATTTTTTGTCGATTTGTTATTTTGTTAGTTTTTCCTTTTTTTTTAGTTCTTTCTTTTGTGAAAAACACCAGATCATATTTTCTTATTATTACGTCGGTAAGATCGAAACATATTATGCAAATTTCATTACTTGGTAATTTGTATCTAAATGTAATTTCCAAAATACACGATTTACCAAAAAAAAAGGTCCTCCAGGTACTATTCTATTATATGGGTATTTCATATATTCAATTTTATTATATGGGTTAGTTTCGATGGCATTGGAGCGCTATTGGGGCACCGTGTGAGTAATCGTTTTCTTCTCGTGAGAGTATAAGTGTTCTGTACCCACAAAGCAAATAATTAATTAAATAAAATGAAGCAATATTTTTTTTATTACCAAGAAAGAAAAGAAGATGCATTCGGCTAATTACGTAAATCGGGATATTCTGATAATCACAATTTTGATTATGAAATACGGCCATAATTTTTCTCTGGCAACGTTCACCTAGCCGCCATCCTAATACGCTTCCCCACTTCACTTCAGTTTAGAGATGGGTCGTATCGCTTTTTCTGAGTACCGTATCTGAATCAGATTTCGATTTCAAATATCAGATTTCGAAACTATGTATTTTAATATCTAGATATTTTAGGGTCCCGTATCCACCTTGAATTCTTAAAAAAAAAAAAAAAAATTTTCAACAATATTTTATACTTATTATAAATTGTGCAGGCGTGACTAAATTCAAAAACCTTACTGAATTTAAAATCACACTTTTTTTATACTATTAAGGTAAAATTAAAACATTACCTGATTAAATTAAAAATTTCATTAAAAATAGAAATTTAAGTAATATAAAAATGATTTATTTTAACATCATATATATCGCTTAATAATTGACTTTAACATATTCTTAGGACACGCAATCATGAGTGACAATATTTTTATAATTTGTGTAAGAAATAATACATTCAGTATTATAACTTAGGGCGGAAGAAATTAAAATATACACACAAAGCACATAAAGCCTTGGTCTGATTTCCACCCAAGCAGCACAGCACTATTACATTATATTTTTCTTTTTGTGTAGTTTTATTTTTTTCCAAAAATATGAATAAAATTTAACTAATAAAAATATTCACAAAAAATTTATCTCCTAAAAAATTTCCATTTATATTTTTCTTCCTTAATTTAGGCAGAAAATTTTTAAGTAGTAAGTTGGCATCCCTTACTATTACGTGCTATGTACCAATGCAATCCAGCTCAAGGTTAAACAAAATTTAAAGACATCGTTAATACCGTAATTCGTATTTAAATGCAACTAAAAATGTTTTTCCATGCTGTTAAGATTCAAAATTACTTAACTGCGCGCTTTGTCGCCCGTTACGGCTCAAGGCTAAACAAAACAATAAAAATATACTTAATAATATCGTTGTAGTAATCGTTGATACCATGATTAGTATTTAATTGAAACGGTTCTTATTTGCATGGTCTTAAGATTCAAAATTACTTAACTTATTCAAAATATCTGTTTAAAAATCTGATATTGTGCCTTGCTTGCCATACTGCTCTAACTAGTGTAATATTTGTATCTCACGCGCTTTGTCGCTCAAAATCTGTTTAAAAATCTGATGTCGTGCATTGCTTGCCGTCCCGCTCTAACTAGTGAGTATTTATATCTCACGCGCTTTGTCGCTCGATATCTGATATCGTGCATTGCTTGCCGCCCCGCTCTAACTAGTGAGTATTTATATCTCACGCGCTTTGTCGCTCGATATCTGATATCGTGCATTGCTTGCCGTCCCGCTCTAACTAGTGAGTATTTGTATCTCACGCGCTTTGTCTCTCGAAATCTGTTTAAAAATCAGATATTGTGGCAAACGCGTATGATATCGCGATTCGTGTCGGTATAGCGAGCGAGCACGGTACATCAGATTTCGGAAATATCAGATATTGTAAAATACATAGATATTGAACGAGCCAGTAAGCGATATTCGGATATTGTACTAATATCCAGTTTTCATATCTGATACGATATGTATCGCCCACCACTACTTCAGTTATTCGGTTGATTCAGGTAGTCGTGAGCGAGTGTATGTCTTCAAAGCAACATTTCTATGATTGAGAGCAATTTCCCGCCTTTTTAGGATTATCAGAATTACCCGAATATTCGTAATAAAGAAACCAAGAAAGTTATTTAATAAATTGTTTTTAATACGATAAATTTATGTTTTTATGCACTTCTAAGTAGTTTTTGAAAACTCTATCTCCACTTATTTTGCTTTTTTCGGGATTAGCCGAAGAGAGTAAATCCGAATTATGGAGAATTCGGATTTACCCGATATTGATTTTCTCTAAGAAAAGTCAGTGGTTCTAAATATTTTAATTCTTGTTTGTTTAAATGGATTAGTTTATTTTCAAATTGCCGAGTCTTTAAGGTACACCTAAATATATGGCTATAGAAGCTATCTGTTTGATGTGTTAAGTAAATAAATAGATAAATAAAGAAAACAAAAAAAAACTCAATTTCATTCAAATTAATTTTTGGATTAGTTTATTTTCAAATTGCCGAGTCTTTAAGGTACACCTAAATATATGGCTATAGAAGCTATCTGTTTGATGTGTTAAGTAAATAAATAGATAAATTAAGAAAACAAAAAAAAACTCAATTTCATTCAAATTAATTTTATCCTAACACTTATTTTCGGCTTCATAATTTTTGAATATAGTCAATTCTTTGGGAAGTCACATTTATTGCGGCCTTAAAGGCTATTAATTCAAAAAAATTGTGTCATTAGATTCGTCGGTAGAATGGTAGTGAATTAGGTTTTTTTTCTAATTTTTTTGGCAAAAAATCTTGCTAATTGTATTAATAAACTAAAGTTTTAAACATGTTTTAAATTAATTATTCATAATTATAGATATATTTACATGATTAGATTATCAAAAATGTGACTCTAATTGTCTGTAGTTTGCAGAAAGAGCACACTGAGTGAATTTTTAGGTTAATGTTTCGAACTGGGTGACAATTTTTTTTTGATTTTTTAGTGATTTGATTTGTTAGTTATATTTATTTTGTCACTCAGTACTTAATTATACTTTAAATCATTTATGTTGGATCTCAATAATTCCATTATTATACTTTAAATAAAACTTTGATACTTCTTAGTTTTTCACTTTATTTCACACACTATCATTTACCATGGTCTCTAAAGTTTGGGAACCGTAGACCGAACTTGCACTACATTAAGCTACTCAGGGGATAGTAGGGAACAATATATTTTGCAAGGGTAAATGAGGACGAAAAAGAAATATGTATCTTTTGTTACAACTCAGTATAATTCAGTTTTAAATGTCATTCAGAATTACCCTAGCATACTTCGGAGTTGCACTTACACAACAAAAAAACAATCTAATTTTGAAATAGTTTTATTGTAAAATACTGAGGATATTAATAATAGTCCTTGGAATAATGTTTTAAGATGTATATTCAAGTAAACTGTGCGACCTTAGTTGATAGCATTAACTACACCAATTCTGACTGGTAAACGAAAATTCTAACATACCGTCAAATATTCTCAAATCGTTTCGGAAATACCCGAATGCACCTTATATAATTTTTGACTCTGCACTTTTCTCCATATAAACATGAACATTTAACTATGCCAAATCTTGCACTTCTACGTGCGTATTCTTGAAAAGAGATCCAAAGTAGGTATTCGCTTCACGTGATGAAGATGATAAAAGAAAATATACAATTTGCACCACTTTGATTTTTGTATGAAATGAGATGATAGATTTCTCAATGACATATTATATTATTATAGTTACAATTAATTTATTCCTTAATTCTCATAAGGTGTAATTATTAGTACCTGATTAAAATTGTATCAATATGTATACAAAATTGCATTTTTTTTAATAAATCGTTTTGTTACCAAAGCAAGGTTCTATATCTTGGCGACTGATAAAAAAAATGAATAAATAAACATAACTACTGGCTAAGTAATAGTGTTAAGTGTATTATTCTTTAGAGATTCATTATAATAGGTCTTTACCTATGAAATTGCCGTACTTCAGTACTGGTCATTTCAAACAAAAATGTTTTGATGGACTGTGAATTCTAAATTCAAATTAATTTTGTTTTAAAAACGTGAAATTCTTTCTACAAATTCACTCTTTTGTATTGATAAGCATTATATTTTCATTACATCTGAATATTTTTCATTTATGCAAGCTTGATTTCCGCTTTGTACGGCCCGCAATACGGTCGCGCAATTGCTAATTCTCTCTGTCCAAAGTCTAACTTTCCTTAGTCTGTTTAATTTTTCTCTTCTATCGCCTTCGGTTTTTTATTAACTTGTGTGCTGTCCCCTATGTGCTGTCCTCTGAGTATTATACTTCTACTTCAGGCTAAGTTCTATATAAGTTCAAAAATAAAAATATGATTTTCTCACATTTTGATTCTTGCACTTTTTTCTCTTCCAGTTATAATAATTTTTTTTTGTCAGCAAAAGCTTTTTTATTCCTTTTTCTTAAAGCATTAGCAACACCAACAAACCATCCATGAAACACAAGGACTAACATACGGGTCAGTCGTTTTCATGCGTACAAATGTGAGCAAGCTACAGCTGCACGACAGCGTTCAGCATGCCGTAGTGGCGGTATCCCGGCACACGGTCAGCTGTGTTTACTACACAGACGACTGTGACGACGCAGCAGGCCGCCTTATCCAAAAAGCCATGGCGGCATCAACCTGCAAGATAAGAGACTACAACCTTAAAATGGCAATTAGGAACAGACACGCAGCAGAGAGACTAGCAAAAAAATAACACCTATTACCAAATAACCTGCGACGACGAGATCTCCGTCCATTCTCCCTATTAATTACTTTATATATATATATATATATATGTATAATAATAATAATAAAATATATATATATATATAAATATGAACTCACTGCTGCACCGCTACCAGCCCGGTTGATGTACGCGGTGGTGACAGCCCAAAAATAAATTAAAAAAAAAAACATGTTAACCAAAAAAAAGAGTACGGACCACGAGTCTGTAGTTACTTTGTTAAAATAAAAAAATAAAAAAACACTAACAAACATCAGGATAATGATTTTAATGATGCCTTTTTAAGATCAACACTTTTACTTATATTCCAGTTAGTTTTATAGCATTCTGATCATCCAAAATTGAAATTCTTTGAAGTTTAATCCTCCTTTTGGCAACTCGTTTTTGACAAGCCTTTGACAGCTGAATAGTTAATTTCTATGATAATCACTGTTTTAGAAACCGGGCTTAAGTCACAGTAAACCATGGTTAAGTTTAGATGTCAAGTTGCAATATTTTTTTTCAGGATTGGACACATTTACACAATACTTTCCAGTCCCAAACTAAGCAAAGCTTGTAATATAGACACTAAGTTACTGATAAATACTTTTTTCTTAAATAAATACATAATATAGATACACAATCCACACAATATTTCTCCAGTAGTGAGGATTGAATCCACAAACTCTGGCACTAGACAGGTTCATTATCCTCTATGCTAATCAGGTCATCATACCTACTGCTATTTTCATGCTTTCTGCAATAGAAATCAACTCATTGTTCTGTAATGGATTATGATTTGAGGCGAAGAAGTTGGGTTGTAAGTCCCAATGACCACTGCAACCTCTGATAGCCTGTCTCTAGAGGATGAGGGTTCAACAGAGGTTTTAAGTGGTGGTCACCTGCATGAAGACCATGTCCCAGAAGCCATGCAAGTCCACCGGCATGACAAGGGCTGCGCCTGGCTCTGGTTTTGCACATGCAGCCATCAGACCAAAATTGAACAAGCTTCTGCAATAACAGCAGACGACCCTGCCTCACCGCTCCCAACAGTGCTTCCTGAAAATTAGTTATTACAAAATGTGGTTTATAATCTTAAGGTACTTGATCATGTTTTTCCATTTCATGTCCAGTTTTTCATTGAAACCTTAACAATCATTGAAAAAACTCACTCAAAAAAAAAAAAATAAGTTGTTTATTTGGTAGGGACTTAGGGCTATTAATAGATTATTTCACTGATATGGTCCTGAGTTAGTCTCTAAGTAATATTTAATATAATTTGTAGAATAAATATTTTAAATATTTTTTTCACTCTTTACATATAAAAAATTTCTACATAAAAATCCTATTACCTTCTTTTATTTTCTGTTCTATTACTATCCTTGCATTATTCTTGTCTCTAGAAAGTGTGATGCAAGGACTTTTGTTTTAGCATCTTTTAGTTTGTTCTGGAGCTTTAAGTGTACAGGACAAAGACTGGCAAGGGGCTACTGGGCATTATTCAAATCTCGAAGACATTGGTGGCTTTAGCTGTTCTTCTGAAGTTAATTCCCTTTTTAGTATTGTATTTTTCAATCGTAAGGTTGCTTTCATACTGTATAGATTTCCTTGGGGTTTTGTTTTTAATGATACTCTTTTGTGTTGATGAAGACTCCATATCACTGTTTGATGTACTGCTATTCAATGGGTTTTTAGGTATTAATGTTTTAGAAGATTAGGTTTTGTTTGGTTTATCAGTTTCTTTTGGTTTACAATGTGTATTTGACTTTGATTTGGACAATTTATTTGGCACATTTGCTGTTGAAGGAGTTGATAAGTGTGCTTTTTATTTACATGCTCCAGTGGATCAATGAGATTTCTATTTTTATCTTTTTGCTTTGCGCTGTTTCTACAAGGGTTGGTATCTTATCCAATTTTTTTAAACTCTGGTGGATTAAATGAGCATTACTAGGTGCGAAAGATAGTGAAGCTTTAGTTAATTTATTTGCTACATAGTTCTTTATTCGACTATTTGCTTTTGGGGACTGGGACCTGGTTTGACTTCCTGTTGTACTTGGCATTGATTTATGTGGTGGCGGTGGTACATAATACAGTGGAGGATGGCATATGCCTGTAACAAATGGTTTCTTATTATGTGCGGCTGCATCCAATATCTTCTTCTTCTCTTCTATCCACTTTTCTAACTGAACCCTTGCTTGTGCTCCACCTTCTTCCGGCTCTCATAAGCTCAGGCACATTACATGATGGCAAATTTGGATGCTGTCAAAAATAGATAGTCTGCTGCTTTTACTATACTTGATATTCTTATGTATTTGATTTTAAACCTGAAAATTAAATCAAAACTTGTGTTATATGGTAAATTTAAAGGATATTGACAGGCTAGTATTGCAATTCAAATAAATTTTAAACAATAAAGAAAAATCACTAATGAATTAATCAACAAGCAAAATTTGTTGGTAGCTTAGTTTAAAAAAAATAATAATGAAATAGTGTATTCATTTTTTATTTATCAATACAGAAAAATGTATTTATTCCCATCAATTTAGATTGTCACCTCTCAATAATGTGGGCCCCGGCTACCTCACTCACCAGACGAAATGCGGAAGTGCAACAATTCTACTTTACGCCAGTCTTCTGTGAGGTTGTGGTACTAACCTGGACGGACCTGTCCATTCGTGCAACAACAAACACTGTTGCCCTACCACCGTAGACATATATATCTGACAATAGACTTTTAAGTGTAGAACCTGTAAAAGAAAAAACGTGTTTTGGATAAAACATTGAACATTATTAATTATACAAATACACAAATATTCTCCAAAATATCAGGTTCTATAAACATAATGGTAACATAACTATAAACATAATGGTAACATAACTATAAACATAATGGTAATATAACACATGGTTTATAGATGCACCTTTTAAATGTAAGTTTGGAATGGCATTTTAACTTAATATTCTGCTCCTGGTGTGCTACTTCGATTCAAAGTGCTTGTGACATAATTTTCTGATATTAATGATCTGATATTAGTGGCTTCGATCCCCACTACTGGAAAAATATTGTGTGATGAACATGGTGTTTTTCTAGTGTCTGGGTGTTTATATATGTATAATATGTATTTATTTACAAAAGAAAAGTATGTTTAAGTATATTTATCAGTTTTCTAGTAACCATAGTACAAGCTTTGCTTAGTTTGGGACTGGAAAATGTTGTGTAAAAAATGTGTCCTAAAATATTTATTTATTTATATTATAAATGTATTGGCCTATTGGCTATCCAAAATCAGTAAATTTCCTCCAATCGGTTGGATCCATGTTCTAAATCTGTCACTATCCCTTTCAGTATCAGGAAAAGAATGAAAAGTTACATTGCAGTCTTTAGCTGCAAATACATAGTTAACAAAAAAAAAATAAAGGAAATTATTACGTGCAGTGGTTCACGGCCTCAACAATTATTGTTCATTGATGTCATGATGTCGATATCGAAATCATAAAGCCACTCGAAGTCTAAAATTGTGTGCATAGTCAATGTATAAAGCGGAGATATCAATGTCCAAAGTCCAAACTCCAAAGAGAAAACCAAAGTTGTACGAAATCACCAAAAACAGCATACAGCTCAAACAAGAAAAGGGAAACAAAACAAAGTTAGTAAAGTTGAAAGTTAATATCTGCCCAATATATACCTAACTTTACTGTTTGTATCTGCCGCAGTTATGTCGATGTCGATAACGTTCCATTACAGTTACTCTGTTTAAAATTTCTTCCATCATTTAGGTAAGTTGTTTTCTTTCAAATGAATACTATTTGTTTAATAAAATACGATTTTATCCAAAATTAAATCCTTTTTTATATAATTATTTTTACTTAAAAGACAACTTATAGTTAAAAATAGTTTTGCATTTAAATCAACGTCATCTGTTTTTGATTGATGGAACTAAATAGAATGAGCCAGCCCCAAATAATTAACAAATGTATGGACTGAAAAGACCGTGCGCGCTAGCGTCACCAGTTACCAGGGTCTCTTCACGAGGGAGTAGGGATGACGATAGTATCCTACGGCCCATCACTATACACACACACTAGGTAAAGAATGACTTGGACTAGCGGCGCGTCAACGAAACTCGCGCGCTGCGCGCCGCTAAGCGGCGTTACCCCTCCTCCACTTCCTCATACTTCACCACCCAAATAGTTAAAAATTCACTGCATACAGCGCCTTAAGCCGCGATGCAAATCGGCGTTCTGCACGTACTACGGTGCGCCTATTGCGTGACGAATGAATTTATTTTAGATTATTTGTAATGGCTTTAATCTATTACGAGGTATATGCGCGAAATAAACACTCGCGTATGTCTTAATGGGGCGCATACAGGTTTTATAAATAAATGTATTTTATGTTTTAGCGACATTTTATGGTTCCTGGGGAGGTCGCTTGTATATACTCACTATAGGGTTGAGCTCAATACTGATCCCTGTGTGGTGCTCGCTCTGAGGGGGCGTGGTGGGAGATAGTTCCATCGACTCGGAATTGAAAGCGGCGGTTGGATAAGTAGTCTCGTATGATTTTAACGAGTCGATCTGGCATACCTAGTGAGTACAGCTTAAAAATGAAGCCGTTATGCCAGACTTTGTCGAACGCCTTCGCGATATGAAATAAGAGAATTCCTACCCTATTAACATTTCTCATGTAGGCTGAATGGCGACTTGCAAGGATGTGCTCCGTGAGGCGGTGCACTTGTAGGACGCTCGAATGTCCGGCTCTAAAACCGAACTGTTCGTCGGGTATAATGTTAAGTGAATGAACGCATTTTTTAACGCTTGCTAGCGTTCGTATATTTTCCAATAGCAGAGAGAAGACTGATTGGGCAGTAGTTCAAATCCCTGTCTCTGGGCTTGTTTGGTACATATGACATGCGCTACCTTCCACGTGTCGGGAAAGGTGCGGCTGTCGAGAAGTACATTAATTTTTGCTACTAGTAAGCAGATGAGAGATTGCGTCCGGCCCGGGCGCGGGGCGTTTTTTGAGGTTTTTGACGATGGTCATGACCAACCTCACCGTTGATGGAGCCGCGGATCTACTTTCCACTTTCTCGTCCACCTTACATAGGTGGTCGGGGTTAGTGGACTGCGCACTGGGAGAGCATTGAAGCTCTAGGTTGTCTTTTTTTATAAATAGAACACATTTTTTCAACGTTCTGTTGTCCCAAACTAAGCAATGCTTGTACTATGGGTAGTATATAACTGATAAACATACTTAGGTACTAAGAATGTGCAACGTGTTGTTATTATGCTTTCACTTTTTAAAGTTTTAAAATAGTAAAAGTTATCGTTTTACCATTATTTAAGTGTTAGTGTTAACGTAACATTATTAATAATAAAAGTACAAGAGAATTAACTGTCCATTATGAAAGATTGTGCTTAAAATCGTCAATTATTGAAAAGTGATAAAGGACTTATAATTTTAATAGTGGCGGTATATAGACAATAACAAATTAACTGCGCTAATAGAGAACTATATTACATTACATGAAACAATCGCTTGATGGCCCAGTGAATCTTGCGTTGGACTTAAAAAGTTAACCCGGGTTCGAATCACAGAAAGTGATCGCGCTTTTTGTACGAGTTTTTTGAAACATTTGCGTATTCAAATACAGCTCATTGTTTAATTTAATTCATAAGGCAAAAAATTTTCGAAGATCTAAGTGCCGTTTTCAACTGACAACGTCCCATTTTCGTATTGGTAAACTGTCAAAGTTACCATTAACAAAAGCAAATATTCTTACCAAACCATGAGTCTGTGTAATAAAATTTAACGAGCTCAAACCTTGTTCAAAGTGTAATACTTCTTATAACTATCAGTGTCAGTGTCTGGGAGTGCCCGCGGAAAATTTGCTAAAGAATCTAAAACTCATAAAGCGACTTGGAGGTGTTCTGACTGTAAATCAACCAGCAAACGTGGAGTAAGTTTAAACACACCATCTCAATCTACGGTCACTGTAGACTCTCCACCAGCTTGGAGCAAAATCGAAGATTTGAAGCAATATTTCGATAAAAAGTTGGAGGATTCACTTAAACAATTGCATAACGATATTCGACGTGACTTCACAGTGGAAAGTACCATGATAGATAGTGACAACTTTATGACACTAAAATACGACCTTAAGGAAGCCCTTGATACCAAAACAAAAGTTATAACTGAATTGCAAGAAGAAAATAGTTTGATGCGCATACAAGTCAGGGACCTGAATACTTGGCTAAATCAATTAGAGCAACACTCACGCGACTGCAATCTGGAAATTCAGTGTGTGCCCGAACATAAATCGGAAAATTTGAAAAGTTTGGTGCGGCAACTTACAACCACCGTAGGATACAATCTACTTGAACACGAACTTGTGAACTATCACCGCGTAGCAAAGTTGAATAAAGAGTCAAGTAGACCTAGATCTATAATTGTTAAGCTCTCCAGTCCCTTATTAAGAGATTCAATCATAGCTGCGA